ACTTTCTGATCAACCCAGCTACCTGCGCAGGCAGTAATACTTCCTACAGTGGACTGAGCTCCCCTGTCATTTAATATTCAAAATGATATTTCACAGACATACCCACAGACTAATCCTGTTTAGACAATTTGTCAATTAATGCTTTTCTCTAAGGTGACTGTAGACTGTGTCAAATTGACAATGAAAACGAACCAGGTCAATATGAAGAGAAATCTAATGACAATCAAATGTTTTCCTGAATAATTGACAGGAAGACCTAAAAATGTGTGTAGCTCTTGAACATCAAAAATGACACCAGATGTATTAGACACCTAAAGAACACAGAAACATTTTCTAAAGTCTAGTGAGTTTTGCAAATGTCCAGGTCTCAGTTTTAAATGTGTTGTGTGTTAGGTCACATGTCAAATGTCTTGCAAATGTCAAAGACTGCAAGAATTGGAATTCATTACACAGGCCATGCCATGTCCTCTAATCTGAATGCAAGTGAGATAGGCTTTCTCAGGTAATAAATACTTTGAATATACGGAGTGACATAAAACTGCATTTCTAGCTTTCTCTACTGAAAACTGTGAGGTGGCTGTCAGACAATGTCCGCTAACATAGAACTACAAGTCCCAAATAAACACAATTACCTGAGACTAGCACAGAGATCACTGCAAAGAGCGAGAAGGCAAGGTGACTGGCAGGAAGACAATCCTGTCAATCCACTATTATTATCTGATATAACCAGGCCAAATTAGAACTGTTTTCTGGGAACAGAATTTATTTCTTTAAAAAAAAGTATGTATAAAATGTTCAGAATGTGTGGTACACCCAAATCAATTGCTTAGACCCCTAACAAATTAACTTGGTACATTTAGGAGATGTGGGTGTTTATATGGTTTTTCTTTTTTTAGCAAAGTGGACATAAATATTTAGAAAGCAACTAGACAGGTACATCATGACCCTTTAGCAGATCAACATCAGTAGCTTCCCTACTAGGTAGGGCCTAAGATCTCCTCGTCTCCATGCTTTTGACTGGCTTATGGTACCAGATTCAAATTTATTCCTATGAAGCCCCACATCCAATCAGAAAGCAGCTAGTTTCCCCCAAGCGGTTTTGCTACCTTTAGCCCCAGCAGGCTGGCTCCTCTGGCTGGACTCATTGGCATTGTACCCAGGATCCACCCAAAGACTGTTGACAGTGATTTCTCCCAACAGGCTGCGTGGTATCTGCTGGCGCCATGAAAGCTGGTCAGTGGGGAGGAAAGTTTATGCTGGGATTCATGGCTCTCAGCTGTTGAGAGATGTTAACCAGACTCCACAGAAAACATACCTTTATCTGATTTTATTTTCTGGTTAGTTTTGTTTGTCGACACAGGGTACTCTGTAGCTTAGGCTAACGCAGGTGGAGCTCAGTAGATAGTCCACACGGGCCTCAGACTCCCAGCAATCCTCCTGACTCAGCCTGCCAGCTACTGGATTATCACCAAACACAGACTTTTTTTAATGATGTAATTTCACATTGTACACAAATTTTTGTTTAAGCAGAAAATGTGGGCACTTTTTTTTTCTTTTAAATACTCATGCTGCACCACAACAATCTTACTGGACTGACGGAGTATTTGGTTTTCTGAGGGCCATTAATATTTGAATCAACTCAATGCATTAGAGAACCAGAAACACAGTTAAGCTTAGCGCAGAATGAGGGGGTGTGAAAATTCATGTCTGATGCTAAAAAAGGAAGCCTTGTTGGTGAAATAAGGGTTATACCTGCATGGATTGGGGATAATAGAATTATGTAAAAACACAGAGCATTATGTAAAAGTGCACATAATTTTGCAAATTGCCTTAAAGGCAGGGAATTGAGGTGATATTTTCCCCCAAAATGGCCTCTCCTGAGCTCTTCAAAGCTGTGGAACTCCAAGTACTTCCCTAGAGGACACATGGTTGTCAAGGAGACGGAGGGCCCTCCTCCTCCATCCTCTGAGCTGAAATCAGCAGGGCTGGTTTGGGAGCAATGTAGGAACACAACAGTCAGACTTTCTGGTGCTGGCAATGAACACCAAGCCATAATCCAGTGCACTGAGAAAGGATAGAAAAGGAACACACAAACACACCCACACAGACACACACAAACACACATAAACATAAACATACATGCACATACACTCACACAGAGACATACTCACACATACCAATGCAATGGCATTAGGAACATGAAGGAGACTCTTTGGTCACCTTTGTACTTAAATAAAATTGAGGTAGATCAAAGTATTTATTATCTTAAGAAAAGCCATTTATTTCTTCTAAGCTCCAATAAGGGAAAAGCCACCACTTACCTGAAATAATTTAATCTCTCTATAAAAACCAATGGTTGTTAGTAATTGTTAAAAGACATTATAAAAGTAATGTTTAAATTCTTTAAGAAATTTGCATATCAGTGTATTTATTGGAATCTTTCAGTCAGTGAATAAATCCAGTAATGTATACAGCAAGATAAACACAAGTCAAAACTTGAGAATGACTAAAACAATAAACAGAAATATGTAATCCTGCACTTTTAAAAAGAACCTCTTTTTTTCATCAATATGCTCTATTTATGTAACTAAATAGAACAAATTGGTTCAACTAGAGCTGCAAAAGTAATTAAAAGCAAAAAATACAAGCCAGCATAAAGGCCACAGTCTGATAATTGTTTAGATCAGTACAAATAATAGTTCCCCTCTTTTCCTATAGTCCTGTTCAATTCTAAACACAGCTACTTTATTTAGAAAGTGTGTTGTGACAGCTTCCATGTTTATTATGATGCCCTGTATCCTTCAGTGGAATACAAATAGAAAAGAGAATGTGTAAGTGCAAATATTATTAATAGGTTTTCTGTACACAGATAATAGGTTTCTCCACCAGTGCAGTAACCAAATCGAGCTGAACTGAAAAAAGTTTAACAACAGGTTTATTAGAGCAAAGAAACTTCCTGGCAGGTTCTCCAGTCCCAGAGATAGAGGCTGGAGAAGCAGGGAGGCCACACACTTGAACTGAAGCAGGGAGATTATAGTGCCTGTAGGCAAGGGGTGATAATGAGTCCACCACAAGCTGAGTTTGTGCCCAAGTATGATCAGAAGCTGGACTGCTCAGGCAGGGGACTGAACTGCTAGTGGCGACAGGAATGTGAAACTGGGCTTCTCGGTTCCTTTTCTTTGTTGGAAATCTCTGAGATGGTAGGATTTAGAGAAAGAGAGAGACAGACAGAATTGGGCTTTCCAGATCATGAGGTGAAGCTGGAGGTCCCAACTGAAACTAATTCCACAAGAAAATTCACAAAATCCTTTTTCTAGATATCTTTTGAAGCCTTTTATATAAAAGCATTATGAATGTCTTAGTTTATATAATATTCAATCAGCTGTGTCCCACAGCAAGTAAGGGACCTGCCTTCCCCTGATTAGGCCCACCTTCATAAAATGGAAACTTCCTGTATTGGGGCGGGGGCGGGGGGACAGGGTAACCCGAATGGCTCTCTGAACATTAATTACCCTTTAAGACTCATAAGTAAATGGACTGCAGTAGAAATAATTATTCTGAAAGAGGTAACTCGGAGCCAGCAAGACAAATGTCACATCTTCTCTCTCACATGTGGATATTAGCTTTAAATATTTGATATGTGTGTTTAAATTGGAGTAGCCACTGAAGTCGGGAGACTACTGAGGGTCTGTCTGTCTTAGTTAGGGTTTCTTCTGCTTTGAAGAGACACGGTGACCATGGCAGCTCTTACAGAGGAGAACATTTCATTGGGGTTGGCTTACAGGTTCAGAGGTTTAGTCTTTCACCATCATGATGATAAGCACTGTGACATGCAGGCAGACATGGTGCTGGAGAAAGAGCCGAGAGACAGACAGACAGAGAGAGAGAGAGAGAGAGAGAGAGAGAGAGAGAGAGAGAGAGAGACCCAATGACACACGTCTTCCAACAAGGTCACACCTACTCTAACAAGGCCACACTTCCTAATAGCACCACTCCTTGTGAGGTTATGGGAGCCATTTTTATTGAAACTTCCATATTTCAAAGTAAGAAAGATAGAAGGCAGGAGGTGTGAAGGGGAGGGGTAGGAACCAGCGGGTTGAATGAAATACGGATTGTAGGGCAGGGTAGAAGAAGGAGTGTGAACAGATACAATAACACTAAGGACTTCTGCAAATGTCATATGGAAACCTACCACTATAAAAGTTTCCTAAAATAGATACATATATAGAGAGATACAAGGGTTACAAAAGGGTGAGTGATGCCTTCCCCAGACACCAAGCCTACCAAATAAAAATCCTAGTGCTAGCTTTGAGTTACCTCTTTTGGGGTTGCTGGCTATTGGAGTTGCAAAGACTCCCCTACCCAAACACTGCAAGCTATTCTCACTACTTCGCTACGCTCCAGAACTTGATGGTAAGATACTAATGCTGAAGGCATCACATGCTTGAGTCATATCACATGGAGAAATAAAAGCTTGTACCATCCTGGAAACTTCATTTCTATGGGCTAATTTTCATAGTGTTGAAAAGTACTATGCATACTACCAGGAGAGAAAATTTATCAATAGTCTTATGACTAGTTTGGTGATAAAGCAGCATAGATGTGTCAGAAGTAACCAACCACTTTCTGGTTGGAATTGAAGCCTGATCCACAAGACAGAACTCATGCCTGGTACTGTTAATTGAGCAAGAATCCGTGGTTGACTAGGTCATAAGCCCTAAGAGATAACCTAATACTATTAGTGTACTTGTATTGGGCATAGAAACAAACTGCCCCTTAATTCTTATCTTAATACCCATTGATTAGCAATCACTCAGCCATCCCCAGAAAAGCTTCTTTTTTCAGGAGATTTCAATTAAAACTCACAGTTGGTCAACATGCAAAGAATAAATCTGTATATGTTTATGTGACATCATTTCTGGGGAGACATGAACAGCCACCTACCTACACCATATAGGGAACTGATGACGGACCAAAGAAAAGATACAACCAAAGACCAACAAGGTAAACCAATGAGTTTTATTATAGATATTATAGAACACTAAGGCGGGTTACTTACAGGAGCAGAAATGACTCAAAGATGGCTTCATCTACAAAAGCCCCATCAGCATGACTGACAGCCCCAAAACAGCAGGCAACTCCAGCACACCAAATATCCTGCAGGTAGCTCAGCAGGTTGGAGAATGTCCTTTCCATGTGACTCGGTTGTTCTGAGCCTCCTCCAGGAAGCTTGGCCTCCACCAATCTCAATAGGTTTGCCTGCATTTTTCCCTCTCCTACTTTCAAGTTTTACCCCAAGACTCTGGCCTAACTTTAAATATTCAATGATCTCTTAATTTGTAGTTTTCATGTAAGAGATAAAAGAATAGAATTTATTCAGATTCCCCAGATACTATTTTTAAGTAATTCCAAAACAGAGAATGTCATACACATCTGAACACTAGAATTAGGATTCATTTTTGTGTATACTAGATGCAAAATTATTTTCAGATATAATTCTTATTTGCATGTATGGATTGGCATGTATTTCAAGATTGCAGTAGATTTTAGGGTAGCACGTTTCCAACTTTATTTATTCTCTACGTTTATATAGTATGGGGGCCACTGGGTTTATTTTTCTACTTTAGTGTCCATTTCAAGTAAAATGATCACAATTCTTCTTTAAAAAGAGAAAGCAAGAGAGAGAGAGACAGAGGAAGAGAGGGGGAGAGAGAGAGAAAGAGAAAGAAAAATGAAATTCACTTTCAACTTGAAGGACTCTGCTTTGGATGGTACATGACAAGCACAACAATCATCTATAAAATAAAATGATGAATACCATAGGCCAGTTTAAAAAGATCAATCCTCTTCAATTTGTTTGCTGGAATTCATCATGGAATTCAGTTTCCTTGTGGCCTTCCAGCTGGAAGCAGACTCTGTGCAGAGATTTCCAGATTTCTCTACTTCAGGATGCTGCAACATGTTCATTTGCTAAGGACACACATTGCTATTTACTCCAGAATTGGGAAAACCAGTAGTTTCTCCAGGTGTGGTTTTGTAGAAGAATAGACTCTGATGGCTCTGCAGCAGTAACATACAAATGTAGAATCTGTTCATTTGTTTTTACCAATGATTGTAAACTTGTAAATAGGAAAATTGCAAACAGCTATTACAGACAGGATGCTCTATGTCCAGTGTTCATAAAACTTCATCCTATATAGTCTCTCACATAATCCCACTGAGATAAGTTTTATCAATCCTGTTGTAAATAATAAAAAATGGAATTTCGACACCACAGAGACACTGAAAAGGCAACATTCAAATACTGACTCTTTGTGCCAAAATCTACCCAAAGTCAAGCCACGATGGGTGTAGCGTCTAAAACTATCAGGCATATTAGCTATTGCAATAGCATTTTTAGTCACTGTTTTCTGTGACTTCACATTTAATGTTATCTATCAGATGTCGTTTTATGTAGATGTGATAGAATGCAAAGTAAATCCCCGCCATTCCTGCCCTTAAACCAAAAATAATTTAATTTCAAAACAATTGAATCTATATACAAAGCCTGGTTACATTTAATCTTCTGTTCTGGATGTGAGGAAAGACTGATTAAGTAGAGAATGTCTTACACGGTTAGAGTCAGAGGTCACCAACACACACAGAGGAAGTTTTCAAACATCCAGTCAAAATGGAAACAACGTGTTGAGACACTGAGAGAGAGGCCAAGGCCAAATACAAGTGAGTTAGTCCGCAGTCACAGCTGACACAGGTATTTGGCACCTTCTGTGCCAATGCTGAGACAAGACTGGCCAAGAACATACCCTCCTCTGTTCTCACACGGTTTACCGACATATGAAGAGCACATGAGGGAAATTAGCAACATCAAGGCTGCATAAGACTGTGAATGCTCCAGATACTGGAGTAGCTATAAAGAAGCTAATTAAGGAAACACGCTAGGGTCCAGGGCCCTGGAACAAAACCCTGCCAATTTACAAATATTTAGTGACTTACCTTATAAACTGAATGAACAGAGAGATGGAAGTATGAATGGGAAGATAATCTTGAATCCTGCTGTATTAGTCACTTTTCTATTGCTGAGATAGAATGTCATCACTAAGGCTAATTTTAGAAGAAAGGGTTAGTTTTGGCTTACACTCCCAGAGGGTTAGAGTCCATAATGGCAGGGGTGAGGCAGCAGGCAGCAGGCATGCTGAAAGGAGATATGGAGACTGAGAGCTCACATGTCACCTGTAAATGTGAAGTGTGAAGCAAAGATGAAACTGAAAATAGCATGAATCTTTAAACTCTCAAATCCCACCTCTAATGGCATACATCTTCTAATGAAGCCACACTTCCTAAACCTTCCCAAACAGCACCACCAACTTTGGACCAAATGTTCAAATACATGAGTCCATGGGAGATATTCTCATTCAAACCACACTCCTTAGTTAAGTCTCTATTGCTGTGATAAAACACCATGACCAAAAACAACTTGAGGAAAGGGTTTATTTCATCTTATAGCTTGTAGTCCATCTTCCAGAGAAGTCAGGCCAGGAACTTAAGGCAGGGACTGAGTTAGAGACCATGGAGGAGTACTAACTACTGGCTTGTTCCTCATGACTAGTTCAATTTGTCTTCTTATATGATCCAGGACCACCATCCCAGGGTGACACCACCTACAGTGAGCTAAGCCCTCCTACATCAATGATCAATCAAGAAAATGTCTCATACTCTTCCTCATAGACCAATCTAGTGGGGGCATTTTCTCCATTGAGGTTCTCTCTGTTTAAATGACTCCAGCATATGTCAGCTTGAAAACTAGCTGGCAAACAACCACACCTATCATGCTTAGAGTTGGAAGAAGAGGATTTCTAAATGGTTAACTGGTTAACTTTATCATCATTGTATATTGGTATGTTAGCACATTGTGTTGGTTATTGTTGCCCTATAGTAAGTCTTGAATCTTTCTCTGCCAGTCTATGGATCCGTCCAGACTGACTATGACAAGCAGACATGTTAGCCATTTCTGAATTAAGATGTACTTGCTATTAAATTGCAGTGATAAGAAGAAGTACACTTAGTAGCACTCCTCTGAATTTTTCATCGAAGTAACTGGAAGAGAAAAATGAGAGCTGAGCAAATGAAGAAAAGATGGATGCCCTGAGCCTGTGGGCTGACTTATCAGGACTTGCCCTGCAATTCTGGAAATCTGAGTTTGATTTTCAGAATTTACATAAAGGTGGGAAGAAAGGACAAACTCCACAGAGTCCTCTAATCTCCACAAATGCACCACAGCACACCCTCTCACACATACACATCATGGAATCTCTCTCTCTCTCTCTCTGTCTGTCTGTCTCTCGCTCTCTCTCTCTCACACACACACACGTCTTTGAAAATATACACAAAAAAATAAACAAAATTTTTAAAAATTTCAAAGTATATACTGAATTGAAAAATAGGCAATACTGGTTAGTATGTGACTACCAGAAAATAATTGCATTTAAATTAGTAAATATAATATCTACTAAGATTCTTGCCTTACAGACAAAGAAAACAACTCTAGAATTCAGGGAAATCTTCAAAAGGGGTCTGTTCCAGGTTACACTGTGTTAGGTCAAATGGTCAAAGCTATTTCCACTCTCCCCAATGAGGAGTAAATCTATATTCCCCATGGAATGCTTTTGTGTTCTCAGACTCCCCTAATCAAGAGACTTAAACAGCTTAATATTGAGGAATTCTGAGTGGCCTCAAAGAACACTCTGAGGAAAGCAGTCTCTTTACATGAAAATTATCCATCCAAAGACCAGTGTACATGAGAAAGTCTGAGATAGCCTGAGTGGACAGGCCACAGGGAAGAAAGGTTTTTGAGAGCCTTCTGGAGTATTGTCCTATCAAACTAGAGAGAAGAGTCAGGATGACAGTCAGTGACTGTGTCCCCAGGTTCTGACTGCACACCATCCCTTCTGAGCATTGCCACAAGTATGAGAAGGAAGGAAGCAACTTGAAACCTTTGGTCTGTAGATTACAACCACTCCAGTGGACACACCAGTAAGGCCACAGTCCTCAGATGTGGTAGCTTGGATCCCTAGAGATCCTGACACTTCTCCAAGGGGTCTCTGGAGTCACACCTATTTGCCCTCATTGCTGATGACATTTGCATGAAACACTGGTGTGGAGAGCTGCCGACGTCCCAGTTTGTCAAGCCAATGAGAGCAAGTTCCACAATGATCCCTGTGTGTGCCCTAACATTTGATTTTTTTAATTCCTATTTCACTTAAAATCATGCCAGATGTAGCCGCAACAATTTGCTTCATGAATTTGACTGCTGATTTGCTCAGTATTTTACGTCTATTTGAAATATGAAATGGTGGTGAGTACAGGAAAAGCCTTCTGCTGTATATGCAACCTGAAGAAAAGTGATTGGTGTCTGAACCGCAAAATATACCAGCTACATCATTTGCCATGGAACAGCATTTTACTTGAAAGAACTGACAGACAAGCCAGGTTCTTTCAGACTCTGGAACTTGACAGTTTTTTTTTAAGTGAATGAAATAAAGTGTCACTTCAAGGGAAACAGACTACACTATTTTTTTAAGCTGACGATAAAATTCAAAGCTTCAAGCAAAACTAAAAATTGTAGATATTCATTATTTGCTGCCAGGAGCTTGACAGCTTCCCAGGCAACTTTTCTAATGAATTCAAGGATGAATCTGGCAAAGGTGAGTTTGGTATTACATAATAAAATGCATCATTGTTGGAATATTTGCAGAAGTGAGCAACACTGTCTTCCAGTTGACCAACACAAGACTGTGGGTTATGAAGCATTCAAATTGCAGAGCAAAGGCAGGGGGACTGGTATTCACCTATGATCCCAGCATGTGGGCAGTCAAAAGCAGGAAGATTCAAATTTAATGCTAGTGTGAGCCTGACTGTAAGTTCAAAGCCAGCAAAACTGCCTCAAAAACAATTTGCAAAAAAAATTTCCATAGATTATATATGTGGTGGAGACATCGAAGTTTGATGATAAGAACGGCTTTTAATGCAGGCCCGCTTATCTCATCTTAGTGGTGTAGCTTCAAAGGACAGTATTCACAGGTGTATGGGAAAGCTATTAAAATTTTCCTTCAGGTCAGGTTTGATGGCCCGTGAGTTTAATCCCATGGGAGACAGTGGATCTTTGTGAGTTCAAGGCCAGCCTGGTCTATAGAGTGAGTTCAAGGACAGATAGGACTGTTACACAGAGAAACCCTGCCTCATAAAAAAGTCACTCCCCATTGTTCATAAGCTTTAATCAAATCAATATATTGATAGCATAGAAGGAGATAGAAGAATGCAGCTTTTTCCCATTAAAATATACATTTAGGAGATGATGGATGTGAAAACATTGAACAGTTCTCCTTACTACACTTTCTTTGTTTTGGAGAGTGAAGTTCTTTTCCAAACACACAAACACTATCCCCTCCATTACTATTTAGTGGTTTTGTTATTTTAAATCAGAGTAATAAATGCATCTATTTAATTTTCTGAGTTTCAATTTCTAATTAAGCAAAGAGCAATAAACGCAAGCACAAGTACATGGAAGATTCCAAGATTCTTGGTGTTTTAGAATACAGAATACTGAAAAACCTTTAAGATCGCTGAGAAACAAAACACCAGTCTAAACCCTCCATGCCCACAGAATGGGTGTGTATACTTTCAATGAGAAGTAAGGTATCTTATGGTCTACTATAACACACACACACACACACACACACCCCATACATGTATAAAGAAGCATGCCCAGAGCCAGAAGGAAACCTACAAACAACCTTCTACAGACATCATGCATGAAATCACATATGTACTCCATGTCCTCTATGTAGCCCACTGGCTGTCTGTTAGAGAAACAATTGTACTATGCTTCTGTTTTCTCACTTAAAAATTCTATGTATTTTTATACCAACTGTACAAAGACATCCCCAATTGCATTGACAAAAGAAACATTCCCAATAATACATCATGGAGTTATTACCAAATGTTAAGACAGATTTTTTTACACTGTGTTCTTTATTCACTAAGAAAGAGAGCCAAATAGTAAATCCCTGCTTCCCGTGTACAGCAATCGCCTTGGGCTGACAGCATTCAGAATGCTACTGTTAGTTCCTGGCTGGAAAGTGGGTTTAATTCCTTGAGGGGCACTTAATATTCTGTAACAAGATCTCAAGAAATGTTACAACCATATTATTATTATATGAGGGGGTATAGTAAGTCTACAGTTAATGGGCTGCATGGAAAAATGTGAAATAAGCGAAGATATTAGGAAAGGCATTAATTTTCTATGATGCTTGAATTCATCTTTAGAAAGATTTCTAACCAATTTTTATCCGAAGCCTCTCTGGAACTAAACCTTCCAGAGAATCATGTTGCAAGCTACGATTTATTTTTAGCTGGAACTGCAGATAACCCCTTTGTTCTGTTTACAACCCACACACTCGTGAAACATTCCCTCTTCCTCACACACAAATCAGTTGCTGCAGAGGTCAGGGAAGAGAATCATGTCCTGATTACCAGAAGCGTGACTCACTTGGAGAAGACCCCACATTTCATCAACACAAGTTTGCCATGGCAAGTGGATACAATTGTCTAGTTCTGGGTGAATCTAAGAAAACACACACACACACACACACACACACACACACACAGCACATGGAGTATATGTAGCTTCATCAATACAGACTCAGGGCTGCTAATTACAAAAGGCTTTTTCCTTGTCTGAGAAGATACAGGAAATGCTGTCAAATCACTTTATTTTCTGACTGTGTGAAAAATATCAATTTTTTCCGCCAGCAAATTTAAAGAGAAATTTATGGCCAGTGAAGTGTTCAGAGGAAAAATAAGCAGAAAATATATAGAGATTGCACTCCCAATGGAGTATATAATTGTCACAATGCAGGAGACTATGCCATGCCCTTAGCCTCCAGCATGTGCTCTGAGACCCCAGGTTACATTAAGGTCCATTCTTGCTCCTGTGCATCCTAAGGCTTTAGATGGTGCAGACATCATGCATCCATGGTAACTCTGTCATTCTGACAGCCCTCTGTGATCAGCTTAGATACCATTCTTGACACTGACCACTTTAGCATCTCAACAGATTTGTATTTGCCAGACACATTTCAGACTGCCATGTTTTGTTTAGTAATTTGCATTTGTTTCTTGTTTCATATTTTTAATATGAGGGAATTTCCCAGCCATGTATTGTTTCAGATGTC